GAGCAGAGCAGAGGGGCAGAATCCCCTCCCTCGACCTGCTGGCCACGCTTCTTCTGATGCAGCCCAGGATACGATTGGCCTTCTGGGCTGCGAGCGCACATTGTTGGCTCATGTCCAGCTTTTCATCCCCCAGTACCCGCAAGTCCTTCTCGGCAGGGCTGCTCTCAATCCCTTCATTCCCCAGCCTGTATTGATACTGGGGGTTGCCCCGACCCAGGTGCAGGACCTTGCACTTGGCCTTGTTAAACCTCATGAGGTTCACACAGGCCCATTTCTCGAGCTTGTCCAAGTCCCTCTGGATGGCATCCCGTCCCTCTGGTGTGTCAACTGCACCACCCAGCTTGATGTCATCTGCAAACTTGCTGAGGGTGCACTCGATCCCACTGTCTATGTCACTGATGAAGATATTAAACAGTACCAGTCCCAGTACGGACCCCCAAATAGTCTGCAGCCTACAAAAGCTGTAAATGTATAAGCCAAAGCATCTGTCTATAGATCCATAAAGGAAAGAGATCCCACAGTATATCACAGTCAATTCCTAACATGACACCAACCTGCTGAGTGCTGGGGAACACGCTTCCGTGTATCTTAATTTTCAGCATAAGTATTAGAAATGACAGTGTAGCCTTGATAGTCAGGTTGTTGCAAAAGACAAAAGAAAAAAAGGATGGGAAACAGGCAGGTGGGCAGTTTTCCAGCCTTAATCCAAAGATCATATGCTAGAAAGCATAAATAATCATTAGAACAGACACAAGAAAAAAACCCAAGCTTTTTTTTTTTTAAACTAACAGATGAAAAGACAAAGATTTAAAAACACAGAACAATCTTTAAGAACTAGCAATATATTCTGACCAAAAAATTTGCCATTTTTAAGTACTAGATAATGTATAACTATATATAAACAAACAGCACAAGATAATTTTCCAGAGAAAGAAATAAATCATTACTGACAAATCAGTGTTACGCCACACCTCCTCAAAATTTCTGAAGAAAGATTATTTGTTTTTGAAGCTTGATCAATCTGTAAATCCCAAGAAAAGAGTAAAGAAGAAAAGGGAACATTTAGCAGATATACTCTGGAAACAGAGAATATGATGGGAAACTGTAGCAAGATGAAAACTGGACTTACAATTAGACCTTACTTTATTTCTTTTGTTTTTAAAGACAGGATGCGATTAAATGAGTCAGCATATTGAGGAATGAAAGAAACTGGACCAAATTAAATTAGTCTTTCAATAAAACAACACAAAATAACTACCTGCACTAATTGCAAGTGGAGTCACACAAACATAAGCAGAAGAAAAAAGCTTCAATGTA